TTTTTTTTTTTTTTTTTTTTTTTTTTTTTTTTTGCTGTTTGTTTGATTGTTTGTTTAATGCCTGTGATGATTGAGTGATACGAAAACGGCTAAGCCACGGTAGCAAGAGGAAAACTTAAACTTTGCCATATTTTGCATATGTAGATTACTGATAAAACCAGATTTAAGACGATAATAATAAAACTGAAAAAAAAATTCAAACTTTTATGTAAAATTTAAAAAAAAAGGGAAAAGTAAATAAATAAAGCAGAAGCTGCTGACCACCACAACAGCACTTTTTCAGCAGATGCGTAAATCAAATTATAAACACTATAACTCTTTACTAATTTGTTTAAGAGACCTTCCATATCACAATAATTCAGTTTTTCAGTTCGATGTTTTCACATTCATCGCATCTGTTTTGATGTCTTACTACTGACAACTAACGAAAACATTGTAGCAATTTTTGCAAATAAAGTTGTTGTCAAACCAACTAAACGTATTCGAATAAATACGACTGAATCGATTTATGGTTTAGGTACTCTGTCTCATGAGAATACTTAAAGACACACTACGATATACAGACAAAACTCTGTTCCACAAAACTGTAACCTACTTGACTGCACTAAAAATTCGACATTTTGCTTGACCAAAAAATAACGCGCTACCATTTTATACAACTTTATTTCCGGTTAATTTACACGGTATCTGGCTAGATGTACTTAAGCTTCGCTCAGCGCCAACCATCTTATATTGTGAATATACTCAGCAGACAAGTACCCATATATCGAATTTTCTTATTCAGAATAACTTGAAAAGACATGAAAGAGAGAAAAAGCTTTAGAAATCAAAGTAAATATTGTTTGGTAGCAAAACAATAGGCTTATGAACTGTTTTGACAAGATTTTGAATCCAACAGCAAACAAAAATGGTTTAGTAAAAATAATCAGTAAAGTTATCAAGAACGCCAGCAATAACCCAAACTATAAATTTACGCTGAAAATTTGTTCAGTCAGTTTTAGAACTTTTTTGCTTTCTCATGATAGCCGTTATCGTTTTCTTGTGTTGTTGGTGTTAGATTCGAATGATAGCGAAAGATCGAAGAGACAGGGTTAAAATGAACGATAGTGAGAAATAAGCAAAAGGAATTACAGCACTACTTTAAGTTGAAACTTCAACTTCTAGATTATTTTTTTTTACTTCCTTGAAAGGTAGAAGGTGCTAAGAAGCTCAGACAAACACTGAGAAAAAAAAACAACTAAATTTGATAAACACTTATTTCTTCTCTTTTCTATTTGTCTTCTATCGTTTAATTCTCCTCTTCAAAAATTCTTTTTCTTCTGTCTCGTATTGCTAATAAAAAAATCTGTAGACGTTATTTCTAAATTTCATGCAAAAAAGTTATATCTTTTACCATTCCACAAAATGCCAATTTTTGCCAAAAATTACTGCCCAAAACCAAAGTATAACATTCACTCACAGTATTGTGGGTCAGTTATAAATGGTGGAAAACGAGCGAGCAGGAATACCTGCTTAGCGATAGTTTGGCAAGAAATTGTTTTTAAAATGACACAATGCAACATCAAAAAAAGAAACATAAAGTATCAAAGTCATCTTTATTTCTTTCTCTCAAACTTCCATCTAACTCTTCAAAAAACAAATAAAACCTCAAATTTTCTTTCGTTTACTCATTCACGCATTTGATGGTCATCTAAAATTTAAATGATCATTGTTCTTGTCCTTTCCTGGTCTGCCGGTTTCCTACTAACAGATACATCTCTGCTCCTTTTGTTACCTCAAAATAACTTCTGGTATGTCAACAACAAGTCAAACTGTTCAAAAGAAGCATGTGATAGAGTGAGAACAAAATGAGAATCTCAAATAACGAAGAGAAATATAACTAATGCAATAAAAGAATATTTTTTTTTTCAAATGACAACGACGACGCTGTTGAGATTCTGAAGTTAAAAAGTTGCATGAAAGAGTTTTGCTGTGTAAAACAACAAATGACGATAAGGATAACAATTAATAATGCCAACAACAATTTGACGATGATGACACAGCTGCCGACTATGGAAATACGTATATATGATCAAAGAAGATAATAAAGAACCTCATTAGAGAGAAGGAAAAAAAGAAACTACAATGTTGACGATGTTAAAATTCTTCATAGTGGTCATCATTTAGGCAGCTTTATTTAAAACGTTTAGTAGAAGTGCCGATAAACGATAACCAGTGCTGCTTAATCAAGTAATCACCTTACTGCATAGCAGCATCAGTTTCTACCTGTCATACAAAAATTGCCCAGACTGTTTAGCATAACGTTTCAGCATTAGTCCGTTTGTAAGCGGAAAAATATGAAGAGAGAAAAAAGTGGAATTTTTGATGATAGAAATACGAAATCTTAACAGATGGAAATGACTGTCGTGTTGAAAAGTGATCGATGAAAAGCAGACGATGAGGGCGTTGAAGCAAAACTGAAAACGAAGAGGCCAGGCAACAAGTAAATTTGAACAACAAAATTACTTGTTCGATCTTTCTGCATTTTACAACAGCCATATTCATCATCGTCCTCATCTTGACAACTGTTTGACACATTTGATTCCAATACAAAATTTCTGGGTTTTTTCCATTTGCCTTACTATTGCCGTCAACACGTTTATTAACCATCATCATCGTCAACTCTTCTTTTTTGGTGTTTGTTTATTCTTGGCTTTTGCTTTTTTTTTGTTTTTCTATATTTATTGTACGATGTACATGTCTTTTTTCTGTACAATAGTCATTGTTTTTATCAATATCTTTTTGAAGAACAAAAAAAAAAAAAATGGGGAAAAAAAAGCAGCAGTTGAATTAACTGCTGCAAAAACAAAACGAGAAAATTAAGCAAATAATTCAGAGAGATAAATTTAGAAAAATGTTCCTGTAATTAGTGCAGTCTGTAGACCTTAAATTCTAGCAGACAATTTGTGGCAAACAGGAAAACAAAAGAGCAAAAAAAAAAAAAAAAACAATTTCAATGCGATCACATAATAACAAATAACTTTAATGACAGCAACAGCAGTAGCAGCAGAAGAAGATGGAGTTAAGGAGAAGAAGAAGAAGAAGAAGAAGAAGATAAAAAAGAGTAAAAAGCAAGAAAAAAAAACAACGAATCAGACGGTTATTTAAGTACAGCAAACAAAGCACAAAAAAATTACCGGCTTTCTAAAGGTTTTCAGAAGCAGAAAAAAGAACACCATCATTAATTTTATTCTTCTCTTTTTTTTTCCAGTTAATTTTGTTGTTAATAACCTTAAACAGCAATTTTCCTTCTCTTTTACTTCACTGTTAACCTTGTTCAATAGTTTTTTTTTTTTTACCTTGTCATGAGTAGACTATAAATTAAGAGGCGTGAAATTTTAGAGGAACAAATAGCACAAAAAAAGGTTTGAAAAAAATTAGGTTTAAAAGTAAGTAAAATCAGGAATTTTTGCAACTACAAAACTAAAATTTTCACTGAAAATCAACGATTTGTTAAAAAAAAAAAGAAAAAAAGACTGAAGATGAGAAGTAGGTGTTTAAATAAAAAATATCAGAAAAGCTTTTCTTTTCTAACATCTGCTCAAAAAAAAAAAAACTTGTTCTTTTTTTTTCAGCTCTTAATATATACTTAACTTGCACAGTTGTTTTTTGTTTCCTCTTCGTATTTTCTTGTTTTACTTTGTCTTCCTTTATCATCTGTTCTGCTTTAAATTGATGATGCTATTTTGTGGCTGTAAAAAGTGACTAAATAGATGAGACAAAAAAAAATAGTTGATATATTTGATTCTTTTTTTTTTGTTGCCCCACGCAGCTTCGTTGTTCAAAATTTTTCCAGAAACAAGACCAACAGCACATTGCACCAGATGCAAATCATACAGGTGAAAACCAAAGACTAGTTGTGTTAAATGGATTATTCAAACCACACAACACAGTATGCTTAAAAACAATCACTCATATGTGTTCAGGTAGTAACAGGTTTATCGTGTGTTATACCAACTTACAAGTAATCAAAACAGACCTCTTAGATAGATTTTCTGCTTGTTTATTTTTAGACAGAATAAATGAGGTGAAATCAAGAAGAAGAGATCAAAAGAGACATAATTAGACATCGGATTGGTTACTATAGTTGCGGTAAATTAACAAATATAATCTTATCAAAAAAGTGTATAAATAAGTATGTGTAGTATATACGTACTTATTTACTTATTTGTTTACGTGTGTCAAAAATAAAAACCTCTTTTAAAATAGATAAAGCAAAAATAAGATAACAGCGAAATTCCTAAACTCACAGGTAGTTGTCTCTAGGACCACCGTCCAGGAAAAAAAGAACTCAGAAGACCAATAACAGCAAATTACCATTTTCTTTTATACTTAGACTTTCAATTGTCTTTACCAGCTTCAAAAAACTGACCTTTGATTGTTGAATCAATTGAATTAACACTAAAAACAATTGTGTTAATAAGCAATTATTCAACGTCTCAATCAGCTCTTTTCTTCTAATTTGTTGAATTGACTAAACCAACAAAAACTGTTGATAAAAGGAAAAAAAAAATAACAGTCTGAGAGAGGACAGTATGGCTGTCTACGAGAAAAAACTGTAAAAAAATCATTTGATAGAAATCTATTGAGTGTTGCAAAAACTGCAAATGAATCATACAATGAAAAAAAAAAAGGTTTTTAGGACGAAGAAGTTTGCTGCTTCTGTAACTGCTTTGCAGATAACTGTCACCAGTACAGTGTTTTGTGTGTAATGATCATCACTAAGGTTGATCAATGAATAAAAGAATAACACAGTGAAGATTACATTACAAATTTGAGGCATAACTTTTTAATACTGTCAAAAACTATAACATATTTATTTCAGTGTAAAGTAACTGTACGTAACAGTAAAGCAAAATAGTAGAAAAAAAAAAACGAAAAAAAAAACGAAGAGGAAGTCAAAGGTTGAAAAAATACGAACACGAGCAAAAAGATGCTTTCTTTTTCCACTGAACTATTCCAAGCATCCAATATTTTCAATATAGAGGCTTAAACTTATAACATTTTATTC